TCCATGGAACCAATTTTGGATCTAGCTCATAAAAATTTAGTAGTTTAATAAGCAATAGATATCTCGTAACAGTGTATTTAGCATGTCATAAAAATAGCAAGCTGGAGTTCTTTGACTATGAGGAAATCATCGGACAGGTACAATTAAGTATGCCACCAAACATTTTATGAAGAGAATATTGGTATGTTACGTATTTCGTAGTGATCAGCTTTACAAATAGTCATGTTCCGTTCTCCTATGAACTCATCGATAATACAGACTGGAGAAAAAGATAACATCACAATAACATAGTCCAATATTCGTTGAAGTGCTTGTGGATCAATATCACAGGGTTCCAACGAGCCATCTCTTGATAGAAAGGACTACATCTTTTCCAGTTGTATTTCAGAAAATATCAATTCAATTTCAGAAAGCATCAACTGTATTTCAGATTAATTAATTGTATTTCAGAAATCATCAATTGTATATCAGATTAATCAATTTAATTTCAGGAAGTACAATTGTATTTTAGAATAATCAATTTAATTTCAGAAATGTTCAGTTGTAATTCAGATTAGTAAATTGTATTTGAGAAAGTGTTATTTGTAATTGAGAAAACATTAACAGAATAATTATGAACTTAACAAATAATTGTGCAACTTGCCGAGTTTCAATGGCAAGATATCCCGTTACAAAATTAATACCATATATTAATTCCACACTACTCCACACCAAATGTGCTGAACCTGTGATAAATATGCCAGATGCAATTTGCCCCTTGTGCAGAGTTGTTGTTACTGAAATGAACCTATTACAAGACAACGATATGGAAAACATTCTGATCAGGATCGCCAGAGGATAGTAACATGTGCCAATAGGGGGGACCATTGGGTAGCTTTGGTAGCGAGTTTGGGCGTGAAGTATAAAACTGCATTTCACTGGGTGCGATCTGGCAGAGATGTAATGTTAGCAAAAGTTGATAAAAAACCGAAGATTATGACTGATGACGAAATAGACTTAATTATTTCATGGATAGAAGAGAAATGCGACTACACGATGGAACAAGTAAAGACAAAAATTCTCATCTCTCTATTATATTAACTTAAGTTTCCCATATAAAAAAGTAAAAGTAGATGTAAGAAATAGACCTAAGTTTTGGCTAACCCAAGGAATTATAAATTCCTCTAAACATTTAAAATTGAATAGAAAAATGTTGCGAACTAAATTAGAATATAATAAACAAAAATTTAAAAAAAATATGAAAACAGGTATTTGAAAAAGCTAAAGCGTTGTACAATGACAAATTTTATAATAGCTCTAATAACAAATCTCGAGCAGCTTGAGCAATAATAAATAATAATATTAGTAATCAAAATGATAGTATACATTCTGTTAGTGAAATAGTTACAAACAATAAGAGTGAATTGAACCCGAAGAAAATAGCAAACATGTTTAATGACCATTTTATAAACATTCCTAAGTAATTGAATAGATCCAAATGAAAATAGATTTAAACCTTCAACAAAAACTAACTATCCAACGCAACGTTTTACTTAGAAGTAACTGAAACTGAAGTTTTCAATATTATTAACTCATTGAAGAGCTCAAATTCTGCAGGTTTTGATAATGTTTCGTCAAATTTACTGAAAAATTATATTTATTTTTTTGTTAAACCAATCTGTCAATCAATAAAGATGTTTTTCTTGACATATTAAAAATTGCGAAAATAATTCCCTTGCATAAAAAAGGAGCTAATAATGAAATAGATAACTATAGGCTAATAGTTTTATTATCGACATTTTTTTTAAATTTTAGAAAGAGTTATATTCAATAGAATTGTAAATTTTTTTTTCAAAGTTCAATATACTTTCTTATTGTCAGTTTGGCTTTCAAAAAGGAAAATCAACAAAATCTGCAATAAATAATTTTCTAATGCGTCTTCATGAAAACATAAATACTAAAAATAAATGTGTTGGTATGTTCTTAGATCTAAGTAAAGAGTTTGATCTTGTAAACCATGAGTTACTACTTAATACACTATATATGTATAACTTAAGAAGTAACGTCCACAATTGGATACATTCTTATCTTTCACAATGGAGCCAAATTTTAGAGATTAATGGTCACAGATCAGATAATAGAAGCAATGAATATGGAGTACCCCAGGGGTCCGTCCTTGGACCTTTACTGTTCATTACTTTTTATATATGATTTATCAAACAGTGTCAATCAAACTAATCTAACTTTATTCGCTGATGATACGTCTTTTATTTGCTCAGATTTCTCCCTAAATGAAGTTCTATCGTGAGTCAAAATACTATAAACATATTTCTTGAATGGTTTAGAAAGATTAAGTTGTTTTTGAATATTTCTAAAACGGAATTTATATTATTCAAACCAAAAATCTCTCCATTGAATGAGAGTCAATTAATAAAAATTAATGGATTGTCTATAAAACAGGCAGATACTGTAAACTTTCTAGGTGTGTTCCTAAATTGGGATGAACAGAATTTATGTTCAAAATTATCGTCAGTGTGTTACGTACTCTATGGACTTGACTCCTTAACTAACAAAAAAATATTATCATATTATTATGCTCATTTTTACTTCGGAGTGAGTCACAATGTTTTATTTTGGGGATCATCAAGCCAAATGACAAAAGTATTCAGAATGCAAAAACGGACTGTGCGTAATATAGCAGGTGTAAATATACTTCATTCGTGTAAAAATTAGTTTAGAGAATTTAAATTACTGGTGCCTTGTATGATACATTTATGAAATTATAATATTTGTTAAATATTATAACTCATTTTTAAATAATAACTTTAATAATAATTATGACAAAAGACATTCCAAAGTATTAGTTATTCCACAGCATAGTTTATCTGTGTATGAAACTAGTCCTAAATATGTAGGCATTAAATTTTTTAATAAATTTCCAGAATTTATAAAAACTATAAGTAACATAAATCAATTTAAAAGTGCTTATTTACATTCTTAGTAGATCATGCTTATTATGATATTAACGAATATATTAATACATTTACAATTTTTATTTTTCCTAATTGTATTTTATTCTCTTGATTGTATTTGACTAGTCCTACACCGTATATACATTTTTGTTTTGGTATTTTGCTATTTTTATGGACAATAAAAATTATTATTATTATTTATTTATTTTTTTTCTCGGTTGCCCGACGCTGGACAGTCCTCCCGTGGCCTCCGACGCCTCACGGGAGACGCGCCAGCACATTAACCTCAGCCACTCCCCACACCCCGCAGGGTTAGTGACTGTAGGTTCTGGAATCGTGTGCCCTAAGCAGATGGAGAAAACCAAGAATGACCGCCTTCTACATTTGGCCTGCCAGCCACTCAGATTATTATTATTATTATTATTATTACTTGTTCTTGTTGTGTGTTTTCATTCTTTGTTGTGATATAGTTTTTTTTAATATTCAGTTATTGTTCTGTTTTGTGTAGTAATTATTGTTAAATTTTTTTTATATATTCTTAACTGTTTTAAAAACTAAGTGTTTTTGTTGCGTTTTATTCAATTTCAATTTTTTTTCAATTTATGGCAATTTTTATTTATTTTGTATATTTTCATGAGGTAGTAATTATTTTAATCAATGCTTACTTTGACATGATACATATATTTATATTGTAAGTGATTTGCCTTTCTCTTATTTATTCACCTGCTTCCTATGTGCGACACTTCTGGCAGAACAAATTAGATCGCGGCAGTTCGTAAGCGAGTCTGATTACGATCTATCTACCAAACAGAACTAGCGAATGGCCGCTGTTTTAATACCCTACCACAATTTTAATATGTTGGGCCCGCGGCTCACTAGGAAACAGTGAAGTAAACACCGTGATTTTACAATACAAACCGACTGCGGCTACAATGAATAGTGTACGGATTTGCCCCTTCATAAATACATTTATCAAGGTAAAAGCTACTACTGCCGTTAACTTTATTTATACTGAAATACGCCTTGTTGTCTTGGCGTATACTTATTTCGCACTGAAGAAGGCAAAAACCAGAAAACGGTCTCCGCATGGCATACGCTGCGGCCTCATGAAAAATTCTTTACCAGTGGGCAATCGCAATTAAAGATTAATCACATCTATTTGTGATACAAATTTAAAAATCACCAAAAAATGCATGTGGCAACTTCATTTAATCTTCAATTAAATAAAGTGAGAGGATTACTATTTATTTACGTACCATTTTTAGTATTTATTACTATTTGTAAATTAATTTTACCCTCTCTAAACGACGTCGCTTATCAGTTGATGGGATTAAAATAAAATGGACACGTTTTAATAACATCTGGCCGACTACAGTACATGGACTGTTCACGTTGCGCCCCCACTAAATCCGTCACTGGATGTATTACCTGTGATTAACAATAATTTAATAATAAGTACAGTATTTTATATTACAAAAACATAATTTAAAATATTACCTACAATTCTCCATAACTGGTATGCAAAATTTTCAACATTATTTGAGCCCAGAAGTTTGCTCAGCCAAGGCGCAAGCCGAGACTGAGCAACTGGGCGAAACATATAATGTGCCGTCTACTCCAAGTGACATATACTATTTTTTCTTCAACCGTCAAAATAAAAGAATTGCGACTAATTTCGAAAAATGACATCAAATATGTTCAATTTTAGCAAAAAAATAAAATATTGGTAATACTAACCATTTTATTTATTAATTAAGCATAACATAGTACTAACCACTTTATTTATAAATTAAACATATAAGAGTAGCATATTTTCTGTATAAATTTAAATAAAAATCTCCAATTATAGTAAAATGAGCTTATTTTTTAGTTTTTGTGTTAGGAATATTTACTAAGATTAAGTCTCCCAAATCTTTTATATCATTAACTTTTATATGAACAAGTTCATCGCATCTACAAGCTCCTGTGACTCCAAATATTAGTACAACCTAAAAAATATACTATATTAATTTTATAAACGTAAAATAAAGTTAGAAATGGTAAGAAAAAAGTTAAAAGTGCAGGATTCGAACCCGTGCCTTTAAATTAGGAGTCCAACACTCTGACCGTTGAGCTATATTCGGACTTACTCAAAACTGCAATTCATTTTATCTTTTATTTTCATCGCGGATAGATATAAAATAACTGGAATTTCACAAATTATAACAAAATTTTATATTACAGATATGAAAGGGTTAAATACATATATAATTTTAAAATGCGTACATACCTTTGTTGCTAAATATTTATCATTAGGTGCTTTATTAAGGAATTCATCACTCTTCTTTAGACAAAACTTTTGACTTTTTAGTTTTATAATTTTCGCCTTGTCGCTTTAAAAAGGCAGTTAATTTAGAATAGTTGTCAATTTTTACATTGTGTTCGATGTTTAATTTAGATTTTACCATTGAATATTGCGCCCATATAGTTGAACTTTTCAGTTTTTTGGATAAATGTGTAAAATATGCTATCATCACATTTTCCGAATATGTACGTCGTTGTCCTTGTCCCATTTTATAAATTTATCGTACGCATTATCGTAAACTTTTTTGGATTTCGCGGGAATTAATGTTGCCACTGATGAATTTGCAATTTCAAATAAATCAGGTGGTACTGCATTTCTTCAGACATTTTTGCTTTTAAATTTGAAAACCGACCCGACGTAAAATTTTAAACTGACCGTTATGACAAGTCATAGCTACTTATATTTTTAATTCGTTGTATGATAGGTACACTGCTGTGCAAAACTAAGTAGGGCAGCACTTATTACTGTACCTTAAGAGTTCAAAAACGAGATAAGAAGAAAGGAGTATTAAAAGAAGGCCTTTAACTGGAAGACGGAGGATAAATGATGGTTGAATACGATCAGCAATTAGTAAATTATCTGCGTGGAAAAGCAGATACATTTATATTACATATATATTACACCACTACTGTCACTGTCCTACTTACTTTTGCACAGCAGTGTACATTGTTTCATTTTTGTCCTAGGAAAAAAATGAAAAATATTTGTATTAGTACAAAAATAGGTTCTTTCTCCAGGACGTGTTGAAATATACAGGGTGTCCCACCAAAAGTAGGCACCTTGAATAACTTTAGAGATAAAAAGTTTTTGAAAAATTGGTGAAACACGTCGACCTTGTTTCCAAGGGGGACATATTTTAATGTAATACTTGTATACCTATCATCATCCATCTACCCTACACGGCCACCCCCTCAAAAAAATTCAAATGGCAAAGGGGGTCGCGTGATACATCTTTTGAAGGGTCTTTCAAATCTCTACATAACTGTGTATTTTTTAAAACTTTTGTCGATTCGTTCTTAAGGAAAATAATTAATAATGTAAGTATTGTTATACGCTTGAAGAAAAAATTTCTTTTAACGCAGTTTGCTTCGAAAGAAAAACTTTTTAACCTGTTGGATATTTGCACTTCTATCTAATTCGTTCTGTTCTGATTGAAACAATATTTCACGGGTAACTAGGTCGAGTAGGACGTGGCCCATTTAAAAGTAGTAATAATTATTAATTATGATTAAATTAAATCCTGCGACTTCGAAATAATTGCCATTTATTTTTATTATATATAACTGAGATATTTTGGTATCTTTTACAGTTAGCAGTGTAGGAGAAATAATTTATTCTTTGCGGAAAATCATATTTTATACGAGATCTTTTAAATTTTATAGGTAACATGAATTTTAAATCATACGTAATTGTAATTAATTGTCTAGGAAATATACTACTTTAGTTGACGCATCAGAATTTCCTGCCAAATCATTTTCAAATAAACTATACTTTGTATATTTCTAATGATTATTTCACGCACGAACATGAATTTTCGAATGATTTGAATATTATTATGTTTAAAAATCATTGCTGAATAATACTAATGTAATATATTACCATGGAGAAAATTTTCTGTGATCAACAAACTGATAATTTTTTTAGTTAAAATAACTGATAGATGAAGTATGAGTTAACTGTTAACGATAATTCTAACATAAAGTTATGTTTATTCTTAGTTATCAGCATTTTTGTGTATTATATATTTGTATTTTGAAAATTTTCACATAAATGTTTTACGAAATAAAAGCATACATCATTGATAAAGACGCTAGAAGGCCAAACTTAAAAGTGTATAGCATTAAATATTAGTGCAAATAATAATTTTCAGACTGTCTGAATCGACAAAAAATATATATAATATATTGATTTAGTTCCGTACAATATTCATAATATTGTTATTAAACGATTGTTTCCGATTCTATGATAATTTCTTCGAAAAACATAGAGGGACAACAATGGGTAACTTTGACACCATTCATTGCCAAAAGAAGAATTCGAGTATTTTCCCAGCTTTTGTCTTAGGTAGGGATGATACTTTTGCAGTGTTTGATACAAAACTTAGTGATATTGACAATTTTGTTTCTAAATTAAATGTTGTTTCGCATCAGTTGAATTCACATATGAAATTAAAAACTCTGGACAACTACCGTTTTTAGATGTACACAAATAGTGCAAATAAGTTAAAATTTGACACGCTTATACAGAAAAGATACCAGTACTTTCCATAAGGACTCTCACCATTATGCTCAATACAAAATGGGAGTTTTAATTTACTACTTGATTTTATAGTTCATGGCCTATAGCTTCCTCCTCAATAATAACAGGTTTAAAAAAGAAAAGTTGTTGATTAAAGATATAGCTGTAAGTAATGGATATTCTGTAAGTTTAGCTGATAAAATAATTAGCAAAGGTAAATTCCTCAACATTTCAAAATGAAGAAGAAAATACGAAATTTGTATTTATTCCATACGACCCTCGAGTCACGATTTTTAAAGATATAGACATATAGATATATGACAGTGGTCCATTCATCGAGAAATAAACTACAACAACTTTTAGTCAATCCAAAAGACACAAATGGTAAGTCGGGGATAAACGAAATTAGTCGTAAGGACTGTAATCAAAAGTATGTTAGAAAAACTAGACAATCAATTCAAACTAGATTCAAAGAGCATATGACTCATCTCAAATATGGTAGAACAGACAAGGCTATCGTTGCCCAACATGCGTTTGAGAACAACCACAGGATAGATAGTAGCAATTTAAGATTTATTAGGAATGTAACAAATACTAGACAGCTGGATGCATTTGAAAGCTATATTTGCAATTTGTTTTCGCAAACTTCAATCGTAATTTTTTTTGCAAAACTTTTTTATTTAATCTTGGTACTTATATCTTAAAATATGACGAGTCCCATGTTCCAATTTTTAGATATAACATAACCTATAATTTACCAGCCACCGCTAACCAAACATGTGATTTTGTGACCTACAATATCATTTGAAATTTTAAATAAAATGTTATAAATTTCTCTTGGATCTTTTTTGAGTTAACGTTGATACACATACGATATACGAAGCAATAGATAGTGAAAATGACAAAAATTGATTTTAGAAGCTTCAAAATTGATAAATATATTTAGTATATTTCCTTATGTTATAATTAAGAAAGTGAAGAGAGTAATCGAATTCAGGTTTTGAGCCACAACCCTGTGTTAGCTTAGCACCTTGTGCCTCTAACTCTAAATTTAGAAAGTATAGTTACAATTTCACTTTGTTTTCTTGAAAATTATGCAAATTGGAAGAAAGTTTATATTATTTTATTATCAAGCCTGAATTCCTAACGACGAAAATGATAAAAAATATTATATTTTTTTTCATAACTTTGGTTCTATGTCACAGCATTATCCTCTGATGTGGATAATCTTATCTTCTGACACTAATATCAAAAGTTAAGGAGCTTTGAATGACCAGTTTGTTCCAAAATCTAATCAGGTTTAAGTTATATAGATATAATTGTTAAATTCTATTTTTGTATATTTTGTTCATTGTTCATTATCCAATCCTGATATACCGATATTTAGTTGTACATTGCGTTAAAAAATTATAGAGTAAATTAATTATCTCCGTTAATACAACGTTATAGAAAAAAATCTCGAACACCTCGATTTTTAATTGCAACCACACATCTTTCAGTACAGAAAATTTAAAAATAACTTTACCACAGTTTTCATGATGAAAATTATCATGCGGTTTCAAGGTTTCGAAATTTTATGATTTTTCAATGGAACCATATACGCTTTTAAAGGGATTTTTTCCCGACACAATCTTTCCTCGGTGTATTACGATGAATCTCATAATCTTCCATTTTTGCGGAAAAAGTATGTGAGGGGAAGTGTTCATGACGTCCACGAATTGACATACACCAGCATAATCTGATCATAACCAGGGTATGTCATGTATGCGGTTGTGGTTATATAACGCATTACGTTAAAACTAACGATAACAAGTGTCAAATTTTTTAAGTAGTTAAGACAAAAATTGATGAAATTAGAGAAAATTTTGAAATGATTCAAATATTAATTAACTATAGAGGAAACGATCACTATATAAATGTAGATCTGACAACTGCTAACAAACTGCTTAATGGTAAGTATCGCTTTTCCTCTTTCTATTTCATTTCTTAGAATAGCATTATCATAGAGCATGAAATTTTTTAATATACCTAGTTATATTTGAGATACTTTTTATATTTATAATATGTTACAGATCAACATTTAGCCGAGAAGTATATTAGATCAGTACTTCCAGAAACAAATCAATGTAAAGCTTTCAACAAGGTGGAAGAACAAAATCAAAAATAAAATTTAAGGAGAGTTTGGTTCTCAAAGGGAAGGCCTACAGAGGATGATGAGGAAGCAACATCATTATTTTTATAACTGTGTCGAAAATATGCTATTAAATTTAATGATAAAATAACTGTTAAAAACGTATTATGGGTGCAAATCACTAACGAAATGAAAAAAAGCAGGCAGTGACATTTGTTATATTGATAAAGCGGGGCCCACTGGAAAATGCAAACAAAAATTTTCAAATTTGGAAAATGGGTACATAAAATACTTTCAACATATGAAGAGTACAGGTGAAGGAAAGAAAAACCCCCACCTTTTTTTGATGAATTATACTCTATATTAGCTAAAAAGTATTTCTAATGCAAACAATTCATTGAGAAAACT